CACACACACACACACACACACACACACACACAGACACAGACACACAGACACACACACACACACACACACGATGCAAGAATTAACTCTTAACTTCTACTAACTTGAGTTTATGAAAACAGCTGTATTTGAGTGTTTACTCACCGATACACAATCTTATTATCATGAAGAAACTGAAGCCCCAAAACCACACATGCAGAATAAAACCTGAATCACAAACACACACACACACACACACAAATATGAAGAATACAGTAAAACACTCATGAAAAGCACACATAAATCCAGGAACAACACGTTCAAATTGCACAATGATTATTAAAGCAAGACACTACAGGCAACAACATTGTTTTTCTTCATGCACTGGTCAATTTTGAGATTTTGGGCTATTTGGCGTTTCATAATAGTTTGTTTAAGACTAGTGGAAAGAAAACATTCAAAAAATACATTTAAGTGTTTATTGTATTGCACTTGATCTATTTGCATCTGTAGATTTCAATTACCTATGTATCTTTAAAGTTGTTTGTTTTTCAAAATGAGTTTGTTTCTCCACTTCAGCAGCACTTGCATACACCAAATGTTACAGTTTTATTCTTATATATATTCTGAACGTTTTTATCATTTGCCTGATTTTATACATTTTTATTCACCTGTGACGTAACAACTACTAGTGTTGCATATTAGCTAGTTAAGTTAAACACACTTACACAGAGCGTGTTTCAGAGAAGACGTCAGCGTGGATGTGCATCATCAGGTCTCCGCCAGCCGTGTACTCCATGACAAAACACACGTGTTCTGGCGTCTGAAAACATGCAAACAGATTGACCAGGAACGGGTGCTGTGCGCTGTTCACCGTCTCAAAGATTCGCTTCTCGCACATCAAACTGGAAGAGAGAGGATACGAGAGTCTAAAGACTGACGACTAAATGGATGAGCTGTCATGTGTACTTTTGCATTTTAAATAGTAAGAAAAAAATACTTTGTGTAGTGAATTTCACTAGATATTATTATATTTATGCTTAAAGTAAGAAAGATATTTGCAATATATTTTTACTGGGAAACAGAAATATCAATCTAGCAAAAAGAGCACAAACAGGATGTTGTTATTTTTCTCTCACACTAAACTTGAATTAAGTTCCTCACCTTTCCACCTCGTCTCGTGCCACAATGTCCCCTTTCTTCAGTGCTTTGATGGCGTACACCTTTCCCGAGCGTTTGTATTCAGACAGCAGCACCTGGAAACACAAATATCATGCTTAACAGACACCTGAATCTTTAAGTAACCAGACTTTTAAAAAACATTTTTGTTAACGGAAATAAAAATATTCATAACAGAAATAAAACTGAAATTAAAAAAAAGTTACTAAAGGACTAAAAATTCTAAAACAAATAAAATAGAAATACAAAAAACTAATAAAAATGGCAAGAACAAAATTACTAAAACTTAAAATGAAAAAAAAAAGAAAGCTGAAAATTCTTGAAATAAAAACAAACCCAAATATATTCTCAAAAACAGTACCATAGTATATAAATAACACTGCTTGCAAGACAAATTTTTACTAGTCAGTTTGTCCAGAAAAGTTGTCAACTAGTCGGAAAGTCAATGCCTGGATTTGAACATGGTAAAATATGTTAAATGCAGAATGGCGCACTCTTAGCTGAAAGCATAATCAAACTAGCCAGAATTTTGAAAGCAAACACAGTATAAAAAGTGTTGGCATATGTGTAGGACTTTGTGAATTTCTGAAGTGTCTGTGCTGATTGTGTCTGACTAGTTGCTATAGTTGCTATAATAGTTTTGCGACTGAACATGTTCCAGTTACCTTGCCAAAATGTCCCCGGCCCAACACTGCAATCATTCGGAAATCCTGAAGACACAGAGTGCTTTTGGAAGGCCTGTACACACACACACACGCACGCACGCACACACACACACACACACACACACACACACACACAGGGGCCGGATGTAATTAAACTGAAGGGAAGAGCTGGTGTGAGGTCAGAAACAACATCACAGGCATCATACATGTGAGAATGTGTGCGTGTTTGTTTCATGCTGTGTCTTAGCCCGCTCTGGAAAACATATTGTGTGCTGGTGGGATGTGTACCTGCACTGGGAATTATGGGAACTGGTTCTGACAGCCTTCTCAGGAGGAGCGGGATCAGGAGGAGAGACCGGCTCAGACACTGGGCCAATGTCCACCTGAGAAACAAAAATGATTATTTTCACCAGATTATTATTGTTTAATCGCTTCCTTTTTGTTATATTCATGTATTGCTATTAGCTTAGCTTACATTCTTAAATTTCCTTTATTTTGCACTTTATTATTTGACTTTAATTGCTAATATAACTTGTGTTACTTTTACTTTTCTCTCATTATACACAGCTTAGCTGCAAATGCTTTGGCAACACAAAATGTGCAGTTCACGCCAATAAAGCACATTGCAATTACATTCGAGAAAGAGTTTTCATTCATTGTAAAGAGTGAATTATTTGAAAAAATAAATAGATTAAATCAGTGCTGTTCTGAAGTTTACAGTGTTATTAATTCCCATGCTACTACTACACTCAAGACAGACGATAAAATATTGAATAAAAAAAAATTAGAATTTTAAAATAAATTAAATTAAATTTGAATGGTTTAAACAACTGCCTGTAAGTAAATAAATAAAAAAGTGATGTTATGAAGTTTACAAACATTATTAATTTATATGGCGCAGTAAATACATTTGTTTGCATTTTATA